TCTCTTGGATGAAACCGATGCCCTGGATCTGTTTCAGTCGGGCTTTAGGCCGCGCCATAGCACAGAAACGGCATTGGTCACCCTGCTGGATGACCTACTTAGGGAGGCCGATGGGACAAAATGTCCTTGCTTGATCTCCTTGATATCTCAGCCATCTTTGATACCGTCAACCATGGAAAAATGGACTAAGGTTGAACGTGGACAAGATGGAGGTCCTGCGGGTGGGGGCCCCTAATGTCAGTGGTTTGGGGAACTCCCCCTCTTTTTTAGGGGGTTACTCTCATCACAAAGAATTTGATTCATAGTCTGGGGGTCCATCTTTACCCGGCGCTTACCATGGAGACCCAGGTGGCATCCATGGTTCGGTCTGCCCACTTATATCTTCGGCACATCGCTCAGCTGCATCCCTATCTAGACATGGGGGCACTCACCACGCTGGTCCATACACTCGTAGTCTCAAGAATAGACTACTGTAACACTCTCTATGCGGGACTTCCTTTGAGACTGATGTGGAAGCTTCATATGGTCCAGAACATGGTGGCCAAGCTATTAACAGGGGTGAAAAGATTTCACCATATTTCCCTCTCTGGCCATCTTACATTGGCTACCTATCCACGTCCGCATTGATTTCAAGATGTTAACCATTACATATAAAGCCCTTAACAGTTTAGGACCTTGATACCTGGCAGAGTGCCTTCTTCCGCTCAGTTCTACCCATATCACCCGCTCCAGTCAGGCTGAGCAGCTGAGGGGCCTAACACCAAGAGAGACCAGGTGGGAAAAAAACAGAAATTGGGCTTCTCGGCAGTGGCCCCTTGGCTTTGGAACAACTTACCTGCTGAGATCCACCTGGCTCCCTCGCTGAGGGCCTTCAAGACTAACTTGAAGACATGGCTATAAAGGCAGGACTTACCTACAGCCATTACCTAGGCTATCTCCCCTTTTCCTTTCTCTCTCTCTCTCTCTCTTTCTCTCCTTCTTCCTCTTCTTCCCCTCCCTTTTCTTTTTTCCTTTCCCATCTTGGATTAATCTGGATTTTATCTTAGTTTTTTTTATATTATATGTAGACCACCCAGAGTAGACCCATTTTAGATGGGTGGTATATAAAGGAGAGAAAAAGAGAGAGAGAAAAGGAAAAGGGGATATATATATTTCACCAATATATATATTGGTGAAAGACAAACAGAAAGAAACAACAAATAGCCAATGTGAAAACTTAAAAGATATTCCAGCACTTTATTGATTTTAGATGTTCCATTGAAGCAAATACATATACAGTACAGAAAAAAGGGTTGATGTGTGATTCTTGCAAATGTATCTTACAAAGTAACTTCAATAGCTCTGTATAGATGCATTAATGAGGCTGATATTACAGAAAGTAGTAAGAAATAGAACAGCAAAAGCCAGCAAAAGTTCATTTCTAATTATGCTCATGAGTCTTCTGAAATGATGCATTGCACATCCAAGACATCCTTCAACTATTATTTTACAAGGTATAAAAAAGAAGACCTTAAAAGGAAATAACCGTGTTGTTTTGCTGTGTTGACATCATAATTGTTACATTTATTTACATGAAGCATGCCCTATGCAATCATCACCTCATCATTTCTTTCTTGTTATGTGGCAGAACTGAAAAAAAAAGTTCAGTACATTTTTTGAAACAATATTCAGAGCCACTCTGTCTATCCAATACCTGCTGGCAAATGATATGTACACTAGATCCGTTTCTAACTACATACTATGGTGTAGAAAGCAAGTTCTGTGATATGATCAGGGTCCATGAACCATTACGCATTTTGTATAAATGTTTGTGCAAAGCCAGTGGCTTCCTAAATAGTACAACTTGACAAGTGAGAAAGATGCCTTTACTATACACCAAACATTTATGAAATTGGATTCTAATGAAGCCTAGATTATTGATAGTTGTCAACCACTGACTGGCTTTGCACCAAAGCCTGCTATGAACTCACGACCCAAAATTGTGTGGTGCAACTATGCATGTGCAACTCAAGATTGCACTCGCAGTAGCTGTGCTAGGATTGGGGCAGGAAATGTGATGCCGAAGCACTTCTGCCAGCTCATTGTGCAATTGGTAGTGCTGAGGATGTGCAACTGATTGTGCAACTGCACAGCCCAACTCCTTGTTGTCAGGCATAACATCATATTTACACTGGCATAATTTCATATTATGTTGGCATGAATAGGATTTTGCTCAATGAATTAAAAATATTATTAATATATCTATAGTTATATTTCTCCACGTCAGTACCCATTAATAGATAAGAATATGTCAGCAGGCTTACTGTTATTTTTTAAATAATGCATCTAGTGGTAAAAGCATTGTTTGTAACCATGCCTGGCCTCATAACCTAGCATTATTGGGCAGCTATCAGGGATCCCGTGTACTGGCTCTCAGCCTACCTTGTGATCACCTCACTCTTTAAAAAGAATCCTACTGTGATGTTCTGAATAGGAACCGGGTATTTCCATTCCAATTTCCTCCCTAGAATGGCATTATCTTGAGAGATTGTAGGAAATTAAAGTGGCACCACCTGATTCAAAATGTTGCTGCTTCCAGCTGCTGCTTCCACGGCCTAGCAAGCAGGGAGGAGGCACCAGAGCAGGGGTTTCAAACTGTGGCCCTCCAGATGTTCTTGGAGGGCCTAGCAAGCAGGCAGGAGGCACCAGTGGGTATTCTGTGGGCTGTATTTATTACTGTAGTAGATGGGATGGAATACTACTGACATATTTCATTAAAATTTAAAAATACATAAGCTGGACACTTACATTCAAAACATTAAGTTCATAGGTCCCTTTAAACTCCCTTTAAACTCCATTATTCTATGATTATAATTTCCCAATATATAAATCTTTATCATTCTTCTCCTTTGCCTTTACTTATCAGGTACATCTCTAAGAATTCTCTCTCTCACACACACTCCGTTCATCTTTCAAATCCCCACTCTCCTTTCCTCCTGACTCTGTGCCTGTTTCAATCTTCCTTTCTCATTTATTCACTTAGGCTGGTTAAACATGAAGAAACGCCCACCCCCTCAGGAACTATATCCCTTCCTACATCATTAGGAGAATCCTCCAACAAACTCTTCAAATATGCTTTTCAAAGAAATGTGATTGTAGTGGAGAGGAAGGGATGGGAAATGTTTATTCCCCAAGCTTTCTTAAGTGGGCCTTAAATGGACCTAAATCCAATTGCCAGTCCGTACTAGAGTAGACCCATTGAATTAATCCTAAATCATCAGTCAACACTTGTGTGAAGTCCCTTGATTCAGTCAGTCTACTTTAGTTGAGACCAGTAATTCCAGTTTAGGCTATTGTGTCCAGCTGAGACTCAATTTCTTTTTTTCTTCCAGCTATGTATGGAATAAATGACATCTCCACTAATTTAACCCATGGTGTGAGTTTATGAAGGAAATGGTTGTTGGTTAAATCTCCCTTACTCATCTGCTATGGTTCTAATCTGGATAGGGCCAATTTGCTTATTTGGAACTTTAAAAAGAAAAAGAATGCAAAGCTTAACTATGATGCCATGTATTTAATGCAGCCTGTATTTTAGACCTTTGATTGTGGACTCTAGGCTTTTTATTCTGAAATGCACCCAAACTATTCATAATAGGCATTTTCCATTCCCCAAAACCCATCATGTGCTCAAACTGCAGCTCTTGCGTTATATGATAAATCAGCTATGGAATAATTGCAATACTCCACCAGAAAATGTTCAAAACATCTGACAGGATATCTCAGTGAGATGTGAAAGCTGAGACTGTATATGGAAAGCATAGGGCAAGTCAAATTTAATGGCTCAAGGAGACTGGTTGGTTAAAAAAATCCACCAACCCTTTCCTTTCTTGTCTCGGTCATTATTGGTCAGGATGAATCAAAACAAATCTTTTTAAATGCAGCAAATCTTTAACATCGTCCAGTAAAAAAGAAGATGTGTTTTGTTATTTCCTTGTTAATATTATAATTTCATAATGGTTCCCACAGAACGCTTTAAAATACATTATTTTCTTTACTCTGGAAAATAGGTTATGTCATCTTTCTGAGCTTATCAACTTGACAGACTCATTGAGTTGACAGATTTTTTAAAAAAAGAGAGGAAAGACAGCAACTTGAATGAAACAACTGTTGTTGTTTAAGAACCTTACAGAATCTTGTAGTGCTTTATACGATTTGGAAAGCATTACTTTGGCAGTCTCTATCTTCCATACAATCCCTTTCTTATATATAGTATAAAAATAAAGTTTTTTAAAAAATATTAAGAACCTATTCAGGAGAAAAGTTGCTGACATGAATTTGCTTCTTGGCATTTAGAAACGACAACTTATAAGGAAAAAGCTAAGCAAAAATACAGAATATGGAAACAGACAGATAAAGAAGTGACTGCAGAAGAAAACCCATGATGTCAGTAAAATTTAAGTTGGAGAGTTCATGTAAGTAGTCTAAAACAGGAGAAGCATGGTAAATATCTACATATTATGACCACGGACAATGAAATAAACACTCGGGATATTAGTAATTTCATACAATTTGTTGAAAATGAGGAATGAAACGGACTTAAAGCACAGCTCTGTTATGCTTACATAGATATAAGCCCCATTGTGTTCAGTGGATACACTTAAGAGGTAAGTGTGCATACATACACCTTGTAGCCTTCCACTGCCAATCCTGTACACACTTACAGGAGTATTTGTTCCTCCTTAGAAACTCAATAGGCCATATATCATGGTAAATGTACATCAGATTGCATTCTTAGACCTATATATATATGACATTCAAAGTCACTAGAATGCAGCTTCTCTTTCCCTATTCCAACCCCTGCCTTCCCACCCCTACCCCCACCCCCACCCCTAACAAACCTGGTTCCCTGATTATGTTGGACTAAAACTCTTTCTCATACCTGTTCAGCATGGCTGATAGCTGAGGATGTTGGAAGTTGTAGTCCAACAAAATCTGGGGACTCAAGGCCTGCAGAGCCTCCTTGTTACCCAACCTGACTAAATATACTCTCTCATTTAGAGAGTAACATATCACTTAACAGTTTCATGACACAATAATTTCATGCCAGTGGGGGAGATTGGTTTTTACCCTATTCTTTATAGCTTTCAAAATAAAAAGCCCATATTTTTATCCTAATGACTGACATCAAGTATCATTAACCTCAACCTCAAGTCAATTCCCCACAAAAGAAAAAAACAACAACGCACAATTAAAACATGTTTGAGCATACCTATAAGTAGGTATACAATTTCCATACTGCGTTTTACAACTGAGTTGAATTTTCAAAACACTGTGTATGTCTTTTTCTGTCTTAACTGATTCCTTGACAACTGAGGTCTTCAGACAGGAACAAGTTACCAATTCTGAAAGAAAAGGAAAACCTCTGCAGCATTAGTTTATTAAGAGGGCCCATCACTCATGCACTAAGCAATTCCTATGTGTGCTTTCTCATATGCAGGTGCACCTGTGAGAGGGAACTGGCAACATAGGATTCAATGGAATCTGCTTCCCACCCCAGAGTTCCCCTGCTACTAGGGACAGAGTCACTCATGGATAACCTCTGGCCATTACTCAGAAGGTGAAGCTGCCATAAACCTATTAAATGATCACTGACTTGTGACTCGCCTTCATAGAACCCCAGTCAGTAACTTATTCTTGCTGATAAGGTAGCCCCACCCCTGAAGGAAAGCTACAGAGGCATCAGTGGTATTCCACTGCCACCCAAAAGAAAACAGGAGGGTGAAGATGTACCAAGGACAAGTCACAGTGGGTCAAAATTTGACAGAGGAGAGGGTCTGGTGGTGGCATAAGTTGGGTTCCACTGCCACCCAAAAGAAAAGAGGAGGGTGAAGATGTACCAAGGACAAATCACAGTGGGTCTTTGCATTCAAAATTTGACAAAGGAGAGGGTCTGGTGGTGGCATAAGTTGGCAGCACATGGCTCCACTACATGTTCCACTCTGGAAGAATGAGGATGACAAATGTCACAGCTTGGCTCTACTGGAATATGAAGCTGGAATCCTCCTCCTAGCTTGACTCAGAGGGTCCTCAGAGTCAGGCCCTTGTGCTGATTTTTATGTTCACTCCTCCCATAGGGGTCTGGATCAGAAGACTCTCAGAAGCAGGCCATTAAGGGGATTTTAGCTGCATACGTAAAAGGTGAACTATCCTTCTTTCCCCTGGAAGGTGTAGGGTGCAGGTGCACACACAGTCACCTCACCCCACCCAGTTCCCTAGCAATTTTGGGATACTAAGAACAGCTGTGACTCTTCCTTGGCATGGGTGCTCCTTCCCTTTCCCCCTGAAAGCTGGAAAAAAGAGGAAAAAAATAAAAATAAAATGGAGCATTTAGCTCTGTAGTCTACTATCACAGTCACTTCACTCCACCAGTTCCCCTACCATAACTACCAATAACTTTGTCTTGGCATAGGTGGGCACCCCTTCCATTTATTCTATGAGCTGGCCTTGTCCTTTGCTTTTCCCCATTCGCAGAAATGGAGTCTTCATGGAAAACCAGGAATGCACAAATACTATTAGGTAAGAATTAGGTCAGAATCTCACCAAAAAGGCACAGAATGGGCTGGCCCTGATCTATTTGCCTTTTATTCAGAGATAGTCTCAGTCAAGTGGCTGCACACTTGCCTATAATCGAGATGTGGTTAAAACAGCAGTGGGCAACTATGGTTGCTGAACTGAAACTTCCATAAGTACTTGCATGTTTAGTAGTCTGGCTAGGGAGGACAGGAATTGTAGTCCAGTAATATCTGGCTAGATAGCTCAGAGGTTCAGATATCTGGCTGTAGAGCCAGAGGTTGGGAATTTGATTCCCCACTGGGCCTCCTGTGAGTATACCCAGACTGTGTGGCCTTGGGCATGCTGCACTGTCCCAGGGTGCCCCCAGAAGAAGGGAACAGTAGACCCCTTCTATCTACCTAGAAAACCCCAAAAATGGTTGCCATAAGTCAGAATTAACTTGACAGCACATAATTATGATTATGAATACCTGGAGAGCCACTGTTTCCCACCCTGAACTAAAGTTTAAAGAACTTCTGAGATGTGACACTTTCCCCACTCCAGATCTAAAAATCTTCTTCCATTATTTACCTGAAATCCAAACAGGCAATGACAATGTTTTCTTAGAATCTGGAAGACAGAGTTCTGAAAGCACTTCCTGTTAATGATCCCATTGTATTCTTATCATATCCTTGCTGTGGAATCAGCGATGGTCAGGAGGAAGGTTGTAGAACAAATAAGAAGGAACCAGATAAAAAATAATTTGCTATTAATTAAAGCAATCAAATTGTGTGTGTTTGTGTTTGTGTGTATGATTTATATAAAAATCCATGCAATGCCGTAAAAGTCCCTGTCAGGCAAAAACCTTCATTCAGGGAGCACTGAGGTGTGAACCAAAGACATTCCAGCCACATATCTAATGTAGCAGGTGTATAAAGTTTTTCAAGCATAGAGGAACTCCCTTTGAATTTCCCCCCCCATTCATCAGCTATATTTTCATTTTGTTCTCCCCATCACCTGAGCTTGGAGTACATGAAATTCTCAGGCACTTTTTATTTCCACATTCCTCTGCTTGCTGGACCCAGACGCCCTCCCTCCCTCCCTCCTAGTATCCTGCCATATGCAATCAAGGGAAGTTCAACCCACAGGGTGGAGTATATATTTTTCTAGCCATATTCTAGAAAATGCATATTTGCAATGTATTAAACATATAAAATAAAAGATTCTCAGTAAATTGGACATTGGACATCTAAAATAAAAATGTCCTGTCTAAATATTCTAAACAGAAATGCATCCTCAGTTTCCAGAATCATCATACATTCTCTACTGTTATTATTATTTTCTGAGCAATTTTCCAAATATCTAAGCAGAACCTTTTATTTAGGTAGGTGGTCTTGTTCTACTGCCATGCTAGTTTTATTGTACACAGGGAAAAGGGAACACCTTGTTCTCTTACCTGCTTCAGTATGGATTGGAGCTCTCTGTTTGACCACAGGTCAGATAGCAAGAAACGAGCAGCTTCAGCTGCTTTGGGATAGGAGCTGTCAATATGAAAGAAGGCAAATGAGCTTCACCAAACTGGATAGACAGAATTAACACTGTAAACCTTATAAACTGCCACTGATTATCCTCAGTAGGTATGTGCACAGTCATTGGAGAAATGGCCAATCTACACTTGTTGAAAGACAGCCCTGACCGTTGCTTTGTGTTTGGGTGAGAAATGGTTAATGGATGAAAAAAGGAGTCAGCTTCTGGGATTTTCCCTTGTGCGGTGTCACTTTGTGAATGGTAGTGAACATAAGAGGGTATCTTATAGAACATCTTGACTGCTGTCATTGATGTTGTCAACATTCAGGCTGTCCTTTGCTGTGTGAAGCTTGGCATCCTTTTTCCTGCTGACAATGCGAGCACAATATTGTGCCATTTCCTGGCATTTTGCCTAATGGATACGTAAGAACGATATCCCACATTCGTAAACTGTAGGGTTTTTTTTCAAAGAATTGAATTCCCTCATGTCCATTTTTCTTCATCATTACTCACCCGTTTCGGCAAAGAGCTACTACATTATTTATCAAGCTGCCTGTCAAGTAGGGCTTGGCCATCTGTGGGTTGGACATCATTAGGTTTCTCAGAGCATAGCAAGCAGATGTCATAATTTCTCCATAATTGCTAGAACCCGGAGCCTGCAGGGCTAGAAGACGGGTCACATCTGGAAGCACCTGATGAGCTAAGAGAGGAAACAAATTAACATTAAAAAGTTACAAAAATGTGAAAAGACCTATTGAGACTAAATAAGAACTTAGGGGGAAATACTAATCTTTGTCAGAGTTGTAAGAATGGAATTGAACTGAACAGAGTATTAAGAAAATGGTCCAGTTTTTGCTACAAGCAGAGTGGATCATACAGGAAGAGACACCTCAATAGCTATAAAGTTCTTGTTCATTTTCCAATGGAATTAGATCAAGCAACAGCCTTTTAGGTTTAACAGGTAGCATAATATTGTACACATGTTCGGCTGCATGTTAGACCACCAGACAATACAGAATATATCTTGAACAAATATGGCACAAAGGGGCTAGTAGAAACACAGATGACTTTTAAAAAACTGAGAGGTTTTCAACCAAAGTATGGATAAGCATGATGAGGAAAGATTATTGTTGAACTTGCTTGTCACTGATGATCCTTATTTCCTTCATAAAATGTTTCCTTTGGTGTGGGGAAACCATATGGAGGTTTTACCATGCTGCTGACTGGCATATATAGAGAAAATATACACCAGCTATTTTATTATTCTTGATGATGCACCACTTGACATGGCATAACATCCATAAAATTCTGGGAAGAACAGGGGATTTCCCTTGCTCAAAGAATTGGATGAGATCCATCATTAGAGAATAACACATTGCTTCTCTGTCTTTCTTAAACATATGGTTGTGTGTTTCACAATGTAGCAGAATGGCAGTGGGTGACAAGCAGTGAGGGACGTGTCCCTTCATTCTACAGTGAGCAGAATTATGCCTTCTATTTTTCTTTGCATTCCCAACTGCAGAGAGGGCTGATCTGCTTGGAATCCAGTTACAAAGATATTCAGCAGAAAACATGAACCATAGAAAAAAGGGCCTACAATGGATTACAATGTGCAATAATCACAGTTAAACACTTTGATCACCTAGGCCACTTTAGAATGTTTGCATGCTTTGAACAAGTATTGTGTATGCCTATGGAAGAAAGAATAAAAACAAGAGCATTCCATGCAGTATCGGAAAAGTGGGCCGTACCCATGGTTTTGTGAAGAACTGGGTGTCGAGACATATTGCTCAGTAAGGATGTTCCAGATCGGACAACTTCAGCATTAGTGGATTGTAAGAGCCGTGCTATACGAGGCAAACCTTTCTCTTTTAAAGCAATCAGCTGGCTCATAGCATTTGACATCTAGAAAACAAAAGAAGGTTGTACTTACAACAATTCCAAAAGTTCCTCTTTCCTTCCTAAAAAATGACTAAACCTCCAAAAAGATGTCTCCGGTTAGGACAAAACACACACAATTTTCATACTTTCTTTATCAATTAGCAAATGAAATATCTATCAGATACTCCTAACCAAACTCCTAACCTCCTCCAGCTTTTGGTAATGGAAACAGATATGTAAAAGTTATTAAATGTCTTACTTCCTAACAGGATGGAATTTTGATAACACATTAGGCATAACACATACACCCTTGGCCTCTTCTTCCCCTCCCCTATATCTAACCAGATCTGGAGGAGAAAGTATGGTACTTGCCAGTCCTCTGCTTGCAGTCAGATTTTGAAGGGCTCCAGCACAAGCCTCGAGGGTGGCATCCTTCTTGCTTTGATCCATCAGAGACAGGTATGTGCGAATAGCATCTGAATGATACAGCCAGCTGGACCCTCTGGGTTTATAGTCTTCTTCAGGAAGAGGTAGATCATATTCATCATACTAAGGAGAAATAAAGAGAAAACTGAGAAACTGAAATTTTATAAAATAATCACATTTCATAATCTCATTTTGACTGTACATGACATGAAAGCATCTGTAGTCAGGATGCTTTTGGTGATTTAGCCATTCTTAAGTTGAATTGCATTTTTTACCATACTGAATTACCACTAACTAACAAGGCGCTGTCACATAATGAGGCATGTGTTCAACTGTGCAATGGGTACATACCTAATAATGTGACTAATGCCTCATTTTGTTGTTCAGTTGTTAAGTCATGTCCAACTCTTCATGACCCCATGGCCAGAGCACGGCAGGCCCTCCTGTCTTCCACTGCCTCCTGGAGTTGGGTCAAATTCATGCTGGTAGCTTCAATAACACTGCCCAACCATCTCATCCTCTGTCATCCCCTTCTCCTCTTGCCTTCACACTTTTCCAACATCAGGGTCTTTTCCAGGGAGTCTTCTCTTCTCATGAGATGGCCAAAGTATTGTCCTTCCAGTGAGCAGGATCAGGATCTGTCCTTCAGGATCTGTCCTTCCAGTGAGCACTCAGGGGTGATTTCCTTCAAAATTGATAGCTTTGTTCTCTTTGAAGTCCAGGGGACTCTCAAGATTCTCCTCCAGCACCACAATTCAAAAGCATCAATTCTTCAGCAGTCAGCCTTCTTTATGGTCCAGCTCTCACATCCATACATCGCTACTGGAAAAACCACTACTTTTGACTATGCAGACCTTTTTCTGCAAGGTGATGTCTCTGCTTTTTAAGATGAATCCCTTTTTAATGCCTCATTTGGTAGCAGCCTGTTGTAAGTTATTGCAGTTTAATTCACGTGTCCTTGTGTCACCAGCACATTTCTGGCCAGAATGCATGGGGCAAGAGTATGATGTGCAGATATGCAAATGGCAGTATTATATATTCTGATGACTTTGGATATGCAGTAGCCTCAATTTTCTTTCTTACCCTATGACTTAAGTTTAAGTCATTATATAGGACAAGACATCTTTCGTTCTAGGACTTACCAAGTAGCAAGAAGCAGAGAAGAGAGCCTACTCTTGATTAGAATATCCTGCCTTCAGGAAATGAAATGGCACAGTATCCTACCTCCAGCTTCCCGCCTCTGTTGTTGAAGCAGCTTGTCAGGGATTTATCTGTGTAAGTGCTTCTGGCCATGTGGTTAAGCTGTGTGTATTTATTAGGCACCTCAGAATCCAGACGGTAAGACAGATTGTGCAGGATACAAATGCAGTTCTCCACTGACTGAAAGAATAAAGATATAATAAGCAATCAATTCTCAGTTATATCAGCACACATCCTATTATGTCACACAACAATTTGCTAAACCTTTCAGCATAGGTAATGCACCATTTCCCCCTAATTTTTTAATATATAGGATGTTTTGATGACCCCTCACAGACATCAATCAATCAATCAATCAATCAATCAATCAATCAATCAATCAATCAATCAATCAATCAATCTCTCTCTCTCTCTCTCTCTCTGTCTATCTATCTATCTATCTATCTATCTATCTATCTATCTATCTATCTATCTATCTATCTATCTATCTATCTATCTATCTATCATCTGCTCAGCTTTGTACTAGACATCCCCTTCTTCCTAAATAGGTTTGCATCTTCATATACCTTGAATATGATATTTTAGATTGGCTAATTCTCTGCTATGTGAAAATCAGTCTCCATTAGCCTAAGAAACAACATTTCCTCCCCCCCCCCATTTCTCTGCAATTCATATTTCCAAATTAGCCTTCCTACAAAAAACAATCTATATCACTTGTAGTATATTCAGGTCTGTCTTCAGAGAATATAAAACCTTTGTACACAAATAGCCTAAAGAATAGTTTTGCAGAATTTGAGTTTTCATATACCTTGAATTTGATATTCCCAGAAACCCCAGCCAGCACAGTTGGTGGTGAAGGCTTCTGGGAGTTGCAGTCCAAAACTCCTGAGTAACTCAAGGTTAAGAACCAGTGGCCTAAAGAATAGTTTTGCAGAATTTGAGTTTTTGTTCACTATTTTGTGGCATTTTAACAGATTCTAAACTATTTCTTGATTTTGAAGAGATACAGGTCCCTGATTATTTAAGATTTCAGGAACTAAACTGTTGGATATATTGGATTATATCCAATTATAACATGAGTAGGAGACTTTTTCTTAACAGTCTTAACCCACCATCTCGCTTACCACTGTTCAAGGGGAGCCAGGGTTTGCAGTTTGAAGCCCTGAGTAGCATAGATTATGACATCATGTGCCACATGGCTCAGGCTTTTCAGTTCACTCTGATCTTAGCTAGAATTACTGCAGCAGTTAGGGGGAAAATGAAATTTTCTGAGATTGTGAGATTGTTGTACACTCCCCTGTATTTGAGCATGGTTTGCTCTTGAATAGTCAATTCAGAGTCATTACATTGACAAAAAATCTGCTCCTCATTTGCAGATATGGACTGATCCAACAACCTGCCTTTAACACACACACCTGGGTGGGCTGGGGGGGGCAACTACAAGGGCTGCCAGTATTCACACATACAATTTCAGATTCGTCATGTACCACTGCCTCTCTGCAGCCCCTAAGCCCCTGAAAACATCTTCTGAGGGACAAGGAAATGTACTTAACATTGAGCATTGTCGCAGAGGGCTGCAATATATGGAAGTAATGTTCAAATCAGGCGGCAGACTTCCTGCCACTGGAGCAAGCTCCCTGCAACCAGTTTGTGATTTCTGCCTACTTCAGTGAAGAATCCACCCTGGTCAATACACTTCCCCCTCCCCACCATCCCACCCTCTTGAGAGGCTTTTTAATGGGTACAAAGACTTGTAGGAGGGAGGAAGGAAAGGGAAAAATTGGTTGTGTGAGCAGATACAATCTTTTAGGTTTACTAGTCTGGCAATACTAGCAAGAGTTGTATCAACTGGGAAAGAGGCGTACATAAAGAGCATGCTTAGTACCTTGTCATCTGGCCGATTGGCTGCCACACAGTTCTGGGAATAAGCCATTACAGAGTCAATCAGTCCAGGGTAATTTCTCATGGTTTGACGTCCAGCATCAGCAGAGCTCAGGTTTCTTCAAGGTATTTTGTAAATAGGGAAGAATAATCAAAATAATACTTCACCGAAACCTATCTAAGATCTGGAAGGGGCCTGGGCTCCATTCCCACAAACAGACCAATTTCACAAAATGCATCTGCTCAGGGAGAATACCAGTGTATATTTTTCTCACAAAGCTGCATAGGAAGATTTAAAAGGTACTTTATGGAAAATAAATGGTTGAGTAATTCTCAAATTCAAGGAATTTTTCAGATCCATGCACCACTCATTAGACAGCAATACAACTCCTTCTCCCAAAGACTCTGAGAGGTAGGGAGAAGTGTTATCTCACCCTGGGTAGAGGCAAGGTGTAATTGTGGGCTGGTACCATCTAGACATGTATATTCCCGTATCCTTCTGGTTCACTAGGGAGTAAAACCTTCTAGATCCCTATTGTGAAGCTAAAGTCTGCATGGAAACTGGTTTATCACATTACATTACAAGACCATTTTAAAAAAAAATATATCAACTAGTCTTAGCTTGCTTTAAAATCAACTTCAAACTACTTTTATTATTTTATGGCCATTACACAGGTTTGAAGGGATAGAGCTTGGAATGCAGCCATTTGCTAATATTGCACTGAGTCATTTCATCAGGGAGCTTTCCTCCATCTTGTCTAGGCAAGAGTGGAAGTAACATTTATTAATTCAAAGTCATTTCCTGGATTACCTATTATATGAGACCCATGCAGCAGGAAAGCTGCATTTACTGGTACAGTTCATCTATTTTGTTTAACTAAACAATGACCTTGGCTAATGAATCTAGCTAAGGTGTTGCTTCTCCCTGAATCCCGAATTGTGCCGTTTCAGTTCATTGAACTTTCTAATTACATAGTTGTTTCAGCTCCCCATCGGATAATTCATAGTTATTAGCAGCCAGGAATTGACAGAGATCTACAGGAGAACTTACAAGTCAGGACTAATATCTGCATGGCAAAGACTTTGGTAAACTTTCCTAGGCTCAGAAAATGCCCATAAATAGGCATTTTACAAAACAAAAGGGGGTGGCTCTATAGGACTGTTGAGGAATCCGCCAAGGGAAACCACTATAGAGGGCCATTCAAAATAAATTCAGTAGTCAGTGGCAGTGACTGAGATGTGATGACAGGAGCCTCTCTTTTGTCTATGTGGCAGCACGCACCTGACACAGACGGTTTGTGATCCAAATGGGTGGGTCTCAACCAAAATCTGTCGAGGGAGCTTCCTTCCCCACACTTAGACCAAGGCGATCTATGCTAGTCAGATATGCAGATGATACCACTCTGATGGCAGAAAGTGAGGAGGAATTAAAGAACCTCTTAATGAGGTTGAAAGAGGAGAGCGCAAAAAATGGTCTGAAGCTCAACATCAAAAAAAAAACTAAGATCATGGCCACTGGTCCCATCACCTCCTGGCAAATAGAAGGGGACGATATGGAGGTAGTGGTAGATTTTACTTTCCTGGGCTTCATGATCATTGCAGATGCTGAAAGCAGCCACGAAATTAAAAGACACCTGCTTCTTGGGAGGAAAGCGAAGACAAACCTAGACAACATCTTAAAAAGCAGAGACACCACCTTGCTGAGAAAGGGCCGCATAGTCAAAACTATGGTGTTTCCAGTAGCGATGTATGGAAGTGAGAGCTGGACCATAAAGAAGGCTGACCGCTGAAGAATTGATGCTTTTGAATTGTGGTGCTGGTGGAGACTCTTGAGAGTCCCCTGGACTGCAAGGAGAACAAAGCTATCACTTTTGAAGGAAATTACCCCTGAGTGCTCACTGGTCTTACTGGAAGGACAGATACTGAAACTGAGGCTTCAATACTTTGGCCATCTCATGAGAAGAGAAGACTTCCTGGAAGTCCCGATGCTGAGAAAGTGTGAAGGCAAGACAGGAGGGACTGGCATGCTCTGGTCCATGGGATCACGAAGAGTCGGACACAACTTAACGACTAAACAACAACATTTATACTACTAGTAGTATTTTAAATCATGTTTCAAATGCATGAAATAAAACATTTCCTGTTTACTATAGGGTAGGACAGAACAACCAGAATGTTGGCTGATAGTACATTAAGCATTACATTAAGTGCTTCTTCTCATATCAACATATTTACCTACTAAGAACATAAAGGGACACCAAATCCCCTATGCCAGATCTTGCCTTCTGCAGAGATAAGGCTAGCCCTTGTAAGACTTATTTCCTTGTTACCATCAAATCTTCCCTGTATATACTGAAAGGGGCTTTCTACTGGTGGAGCCTGAGGCCTGCCTAGGTGGTACATTTGGCCCAAACTTTGTTTTTTGTTAGGTACTCAGCAAAAATGTTTGGACACTCAAACTTTTAAAAACATCTATGTATACAGTTTCAAGTACTTCTGACTGTTAAGTGCACCTTCACATGCTGCTCATTTTATTGGAAGTGTTTATGGTTATTTTATATGTTGCTTTAACTTAAAAAAACACATTGAAAGGATAGGTAAAAGGCAGAACATACATGTATTAAATAAAAATTTTTGAGAGTGTTTGCAGGATAAGCTAAGTTTTTCAATTTTAAACAAATATTTAAATGTCTCTTGGCCTACCTCAAGCAGCCAGTGGCATTGAAGAATACCTCTGGGTCAACCATTTCTCTTGATCTATTACTGGTACCATCAGACCAGCCAGAAAAGGGAATAATAACACGATCGGTCAGAACAGGGAGAGCATCATGGATCAAATCTTCTTTTAATTCATCAGTGGATGACAAGTTCCAGAGTAATCCTGTTAAGGAAATTTATTTATAAGGAAATTTATAAATCAAGATCGCAATTCTACTGTGTTGAACAAATTTTGCCCTTCCTTGTAATAAAGGAATAGTTTTTCTGTACTAAATTGTTATTTTCCATTTGTTCCAATACATCCAATATTGTATCATGTTTCTTTCTAATAAGAAAATGTTTTAAAATGTATGCACAGTTGAATGATCTACTAAAGGCATATTTTTTAATTTGTTGACAACTCTCATAACAAGCTGTTTTCCCTTTAAAACAGAGGCCTTCAGATCTTCAGGAAAGATATCTTCTTTATGCACTGATTTACAATCAGTGATTTATTCCTCTGTTTTCTTCCTACCCTGTTTTAAAATGTGGTAAGTTACCTGTCAGTTGCTTCTGTATTTCTGTGTTTCCAGTCCTCCTCAGAAGGCTCACACACTCTCGAATTCCATTTTGGCGGCGGGTTTCTAGCTTGTTTGTGGGATTTCTGAAGACCAAGTTTCGAAGGGCTCCAGCTGAAGCCAGCTGAACATTCTCATCAGGACTACGGAGAAGTTCAATGAGCTTGGCAATGCCACCAAGTCGATAGACCTAACAAAAAATGAAATACTAATTGATAAAAACATTTTACAAACCTTTGTTCTGCAGTTTAAAGTTATCTATATTAAATTTTAGTTTAAAGTATTTGGTAGTTTTAGCAGTGTTGGGCCATGGTCACATAATACACAGTCATTAGCAAATCATTTACCAGGCAAGTGTGATAGTTTTGGATCATTTCTTGCTTGGCCAGATGCTTCTATTTTTGTTGTTGTTGTTGCATGTGTGCAACAACTTTTTTGAACTACCATCCCCATGCATGTCAAAACTTTTTAAAAAAATTTAAATTTTTCCATGTTGTTTGTGTCGATACATCAGTTAACTTCTGTCACACAGTCTCAACAAGATGTTCTAGGCATTTACTGAATTGGAAGGAAATGACTTGGCAACCCAGAAACATGTTGGGATTCACATCCTGAAATAAATATCAGGAATACAATTAAAAGTCGCATCACCACAGGGGTACATTTCACTGGTGTGACTGCGTCTCAATCAGATGCACTGCAAATGCATGGAAGTGTATTTTACATAACATAACTTACTGCACCCTTCCCCCCTTCTCTCTCTCTCTCTCTCTCTCTCTCTCTCTCTCTCTATCTATCTATCTATCTATCTATCTATCTATCGTGGCCTTTATAATTTCTTGAAAGTTCCTTGAGGCACAACAGGACTCATTCCTTTTTAATAATAAATGAATTTTTTATTGTCTTTAAAACCTCCTGACTTCAAAGGTCACCAGCAATATCTGAAATAGGAATCTTTCACTGATAAGGTAATGCAGTTTGTTCCTCATGACCAGAAACCCAAGAAATATTCGTTTACTCGTGTCAACAGTGGTACATGTGTCCCCCCAATCTAACCTGAAGGCCAGCTCAAGTCTTCCAAATGCATTCCAATTCAATTCAGGCCAATCTGTGCCATATCTGATTTTATTTGTGCCCCAGATCCAAATCACTTTATAAACCTCCTCTTGATTTGCACTGGAAAACCAAAATAGCTATAGCTTTTCAAGTTTTCCGTTAATGTACATGGAATTTGGAGACATGACAGACTTTAAAGAAGGGGATAAACCTACCAAATTCCAGACAATTGTTTACAAAAGTTTGTGTTAGGCAACCCCCTGCTTAAAAAAACAAAACAAAACAAAAAAACAATATTCCAGACAATTGTTTTCAAAAGTTTGTGTTAGGCAACCCCGTGCTAAAAAAACAAACAACCAAGGCTGAAGTCATTTGTCCATCTCCCTCTGATTTGTGCAATGGACAAGTAGAACTCTGTGCCTAATAATGGGATTCTGCTGCAGCAACAAGTCACTGGTCCATCCAGTGCATTCATGGCTGAATCTCTAGCACTATTTCACATCAGCGCTGAATGAAAAAGATTCTTCTTCCCACTCTGAGCCCCCTTTTCTCCTGGAGCTATAAAAATACAGAGGTTCTGATATAAATCCACATGTTTAAACATGTGTCCATTAAGCCACAGAAAGCTGAAGCACTATGGTGGGAAATAGCTTTACCTCTTGTTTGGCAGACTCATCCTGAAAGCATGTGTGCTGGAGGTAATAAGCACCCATTGCCTGATTCTTCTCATCTGAGGAACACAGGAGCTGGATGGCTTTCTGAATGGTCATTGTTCCGTAATCCATCTCATCGTGACAAATTCTACAGACAAAAAGGACAAAAAGACATTTTCATCAGGAGTGTGACTCTCTTGATTCCCTTTGTTTTCAGTATTATTAACCACGGAATGACTGAGAGGAGTTGGCAGTTTGTGTTTACACAAAGGAAAGAAAATCTGAAAGTGACTATATTATTTCTTTTTTGTTTGTCTGTTTTTTTTCACTGATTACCAAGAGAGAGACTCTAAAATACAAATGATTTGTATTAACAAAAGAGGAGTACTTTAAAGTTTTGCGCTCTTTCCTGTTTTGCTCTTTCATTCAGTCTTTCTTTCATGTTTTGTCAAATTGCCTAATAAATTTTCCATCCAGAAATTAGGACTATTGCAAAAGCATGGTGTTGTGACCAATGAGGGCTATCAGCAGCAAATTACCCTTCTTTGCTTTCTGTGTTTCATTAATTTTATACACACACACACACACACACACACACACACACACACACACACACACACACATAAAATTTATATATAAAATTACCCTTTATTTTGTTAAAAATGTATTTTTGTGGGGTTTGTAAAATTATTTTTATTTCTTATCTACTGTTGCCTACTTTAGGAGTAGACTGTGCTTTGCCCCTTCTTCTTTTCTGTAAAGTAGTTTTAAAGGATTTTTAGGGCTTTTGCACTACTAGAAACACAATGAGAATCCTAAAATAATTTTTTTAAAAAATTGAAGGAGGCTTTCCCTTTTGTGTTAAAAAAGAGATCTGCATGAAACACATGAATACAAAAAAAGCAAGAGGTGCCTTCCCAAAAGAACCTGAAAGATAAGAAATTTGAGGATTTTTCCCATGCACATCACTACTGATTATCTGAATTGGGGCTGTTCTTATACTGTTCTGCATTTGTTTCCCTGGTGCTATTGTCAATTTAATATACTGCACCTGTTAGTGCTATACACTATGGGTAATTCCAGAGACTCTGTTTTGTTCTTCTCTGCCAGCTAAGAATTGTTCATAATTCTTTAGTTAAAATCTAACTAAAATAAACTAATTAAAATAAATCCTATGATGCATAATACAGTATTAAGATTAAAACCACGTGAAATATACCAGATAAAAATTCCAACTGCCTTTGAATCAAGGGAATCTGTTGTGCCGCTCCATGTCATTTCTATAGGTTTCACCACCAATAACAAAAGATTATTCCTGTGCTTCTATGATGGAAAAACTCATTCCCTCTGTAAAAGGGATATGATGGGTTCTTGTTAAATAGCTTGATCTCAAAACACACCATCTTGAGAGGGTGAGAGAGTCTGCAGAGAGTTATTAGCCACCAAGGAAATACCTTGTGTCCATCATGATAAGACAAGGAGTGACAGTTTTGTTCACACTGAGGTTTCCACGTGTGACTGTGCAAAATGTCGCTGTGATAAACTAGTGTCCTTTCCGTTTGTAAAACAAAGCATATAGACATGCTAGAACAAGCACAGAAGGACTGGATCATTTATCAAACAAACAACCCATTCACCACTTATTTCAAATGTCTATGCAACAAGACATCAGATGCCACACTTTTGCACAAGTTGCACAGCTTGTGCAAATAGTGCTATTCATACTATTTCCATAAAGTTCATCCTTGAGGGTGTGAGAACACCAGAAGATACCTCACTATTACAAAGGTAAAGAGAAACATTTTGTGGTTTCTTGTTTTTGCATGGAAGAACAAGATATTTACATCCCTAGTCTATAATTCTGATTCTGCATAGCATCTTGTTTTGTTGTGCGTCCATCTAGTGTAACTAGGCCACAGTATAGATGTTATCATACCAGACTGCAATCATCAGCAGGAACAGTATTGCCTGTAAGATTTTCTCAAATTATATGCCTTGCACAGCAACATGCCATTTCCAGTAGCTTCAGTAAACCAAAAAGAAAAAAGAAAAAAAGAATGATTTTGATGATCACTTTTATTAAACTGTTTGTTACCTCTTTAATATAATGTGATAAGCATCCACTTTCATCTGGATGAAATAAAAATGTCTATGTAATGTGAGGCATTACAGATGCCCGTGCTAAATGGTTACAGATGTTTATGGTTCCATACTTTGGAAGGTCCTCCCACTTCAGATCTGACAAACTTCCTCCCTTCAGAACTTAAAATAATACTTTTTAGGGGAGCCTTTAGGAATATTCTCCCATCATTTGACCCTGCCATCACCTGACAGCTGTCACCATCATTTTGTTTTATTTGGTTTGGGGATTTATTTTTATTCATTGTGTGGGAATGGGAGGTTGGGGGCTGCGTTTCTTTTATATGCAAATAAAATTTATTACCACAAAAATTAGAATCATGAGACATAGCCAACCAGGTGCTGATGCTGTAAAAATACATCAAGATCTAGGAAATGCAAATACATAAAACTGAATTATCATATTCTTCTGACTAGGATTTGATTTGCACCTGCAGTCACAGATGGTTACTGATATAAAGCTGATTTTCAAATGTTATGTACAATCAAAATGTGGATCCCATTAGGATTCGAGAGAAGATAACTAGGGCTGTAACTCTCTGTAACCATTAAGTATTACATGATTTTGAGCATGTTTCTGTCTCAATCTCAATCTGGGATGTAGGAATCAAACTGATGAATTTATGTCCTCTGCATCTTCATGCAAATGAAAATAAGGCTCCATCTACACAGGGCTAATGGTTGCTCAGCCCATACTTGGCAGGGCTTCTAAACATGGGAATACTGTACATGGGTTTAGCTGAATATGTTTACAGGATTCTTCATGCTAAACACCCAAAGATCTGAGAAACCACCAGAGAGAATGGGGATATAAATGCATCCTTATCTCCTTATTATCCATTTAGACTGATACAAATTCAGGCATAATACCCGAATAGGGTTTAAGTAAATCCGTACGGGTCTCTGGTTTTTCCAAAGAATACTAGCTCTTCTGCAGGATTTTCATTCACCAGTTAGGATGCTTCAAGAATATGCTGTTGAGTTCTCTCTTTGCTAATTTACATTAACAGGAGTCCTCTGAAGTCCTCTACTTGGTACCCTTCAGAAGTGACATCTCTATGCAGGTAGTCAGCTGGAATGTGGGAATAAGGGAGGGGAAAAGTCCTTGTACTTTGGCATCTGTTTATGGGAAGGAGGAATGTATCTGGATGTAGGGAAGGTAGCTTTCTAACATGGAAACAAAGCTCTAAAAATACATCCCTGGCTAATAAAATTGGAACAGCTACCCTGAATGGAATTCATAGTTCTAAGCCAATATACTGTATATAATGCAATGTAAAAGCATTCTTTAATATATTTGATACTGTGATTGTTGACTTCATTTTAAAAAAAATTGACAGAATGACCTAAATTCAACATATGTTTTGCCTAGGGTAGACCTGTTGAAATTAAAGTTCGTTGTCACTAGCAACTCAAACTCATTTCAAGATATTTTGTTTAGGTAGATCTGACACTGGATTTCAGTCTTGCATATCTTTAAGTAAACCTGCTCTGTTTGGGAGCATTTGGATTCCACAAATACTAATATATCATTACTAAATGGGATAGTCAAGTGAGCAGGTTTTCTATAGCTATATAGCTATATAAGGAATAACTACATCTCTCATAAATGTTGACCTGAATCCTATAGGTTACACTTATTGATGAAACTCTGTTGGCATAACCCTTAGTGGCAAACTGCTACAAGTAAAAAAAAAAAGTCAGTTTCACACTCCAGCTGCATGAGCATATCTTTAAGTAAAATCCCACTGTAAAATCCCATAGTAAAATCCCACTGTGCAACTGGAGTGTGATAGGAAATGCCTAAACTTGCAGCAACTCACTGTTGAAAGTTATGCTGATGAAATTATGCTAACAGAAATATGCCATAGGATTCCAGTTGTTGTTTTAAAGACTGAGTTCTAATAAATCAGTTTTTATCAAGTATTCAAAGTCATGCCACTCTGCTCCTCATTACATTCCATAAGGATTGTCATTATTCTATTCATTGTTTAACAGACAAAAGAAACTAAATGCTCAGAATGCCAAAAATTCCACAATTCCACAAACTGATGCACCATTTGGTACTTGACAGAGAATCCAACACTATATCTTGGATTTCAGTACTTAAATAAGAATATTCCAGTCTTTATACCTGTAAGGATGGATTCAATGTACACATAAAACCAGATGGCATTAGTGTGGTGGGTTGGGCTTGCCTGAGATCTCACACACTATGATCTACCCAAATCAAACTGTACTATATCCAAAGACCACTACATTATTTTAGCCTATGAGGAAGAAAGGTGTGTGTGTGTGTATCTCCCCACCTATCACTGGCAGTGAAAAATAAAATAATAGAAGAGTAAATAAATAATAATTTTGCTACTCTTCCATGATGTCCAGAATCTACTAGGTAAAGGTAAAGGTTCCCCTTGACATTTAGTCAGTCGTGTTCGACTCTAGGGGGCGGTGCTCATCCCCGTTTCCAAGCCGTAGAGCCAGTGTTTGTCCGAAGACAGTTTCCGTTGTCACGTGGCCAGCGCGGCTATACACGGAACGCTGTTTACCTTCCCACCAAGGTGGTACCTATTTATCTACTCACATTTACATGTTTTTGAGCGACGGGAGCTCACTCCGTTGCATGGATTCGATCTTACGACTGCTGGTCTTCTGACCCTGCAGCACACAAAGGCTTCTGCGGTTTAGCCCGCATCTACTGCCAGTGATAATTACCACACTTTGGCTAATTGTAGGACCAGTTCCTGATTCTGGGGATTGGTACACAGTGCCACTTTTCAGATGACTAACTGGAAATTGGAGCCTCCCATTGCATAGGTAGTTTATGGATTATGAGGAGACTAATAAACTGTCTATGTGTTATTGTGAATAGGCAACTTGCAAATGTGGGGACCATGGCAAGGGTTAGTTCCCTCCTCTCAAGGCACACTCCTGTTTCTTTCCCCAGATCTATGTTTAGCAAAATAAACTAGTTAATACTACATAAAAAAACCCCTCAGTGAGCCACTGATATCACATACTTAAAGAACTGTAACAAGCAGAAATTCTGAAGCTGGAGTGATTCTGTTTGCAACCAAGCATAAACTCATATTAGAAATGACTAAATTGAAATCATTATATTTTGGACATGTTGTGACTCATTGGAGAAGACACCGATACTTGAAAGTACACTATAGAAGGCAGTAGGAAAAGAAGATGATCTAACATGAGATGGACTGTACTGATATTCAAGATGGGATCAACACGCAAAAATGGGATCAGCATGCAAAAAAAGAAAGAAAGAATATTCAGTAATCATCATACTAGGTCTTTGTTTCTAGTTTCATCACAGTATTTCATAAGAAAACACACCCATATAATTTCTGCAGTTTGGAAAAAGTTATAGTCTCTCTTTAAAACGTAACACTTGGTTTCTTTTTTTGAAACAAGTTATACTTTCTGACAGAATTCTCTTCTGCAAACTGTTAAACCTTTATAGTACAGAATCAGTTTAGCACTTTGTTTCCTTTACTGTAAACATGAGGAATATATATTGTAAATACAACAAAAGGGCAACCTCTCAGAATGGACAATTTCTTTAATACGTGTCCACCGTCCATCATGTTTGTATCTCTCCTCTTTCTATAGTGATAAGTAGGAGGAGGTAGCTGTATGATGATCAAAGATTGACATCACCCTGACACACTGGCAGTGAAGTGTGATAACTGAAGCGTGATTCTCTGGTTGCAGGTTTGAGCTTCATGTTGGTACAGATTCCGCAGGCAGATTGTGCAATAGATTTATGAAGCAAAGTCAGTACCGAACTGAGTCACATAGAGTACTGGTGTTGACATACCCACTATCGTGCCTTTTTAATCAAGATGATTTTTACAGCTGGTAAGATCAACAACCCAAGTAACTACAGAAGGAAACAATCACTCCTTGATGAGCAACTGGAGCACATTTCAACAGCTGCTTTTGCTCAAACCCCACTCAAGGCATGGTGACTTGAATAGGAGACGTTCATCTTTGATCCTTAAGGCACAAATGAAATGACCAGCATTAGTTGTTTCTAATGGCATATGCAAAAGGCCAGAGGGAAAAATCAAACATCTGAATTTAAGATCCAGATTTCCATTAAACTTCTCATTGTTTAGCTGGATTCTGCTTTTTGTGGCCGACACTCTGTAAACCACAGCCTGAACCAATGCACTGAATACGTACTTTAGCACTTGCATGGCAACACCCAGGTGTGGATTCCACTTAGTAGCTAATGGAGGAGAGAAAAAGCTTGATCCATGCAAGTCAGAGAAGACTGTGAAGCAATGAAAGACTGACCATGGTTCAGATGTAGACCTGCTGCTGTACATGCAGATGGTTTAAGTTCAACCTCAGCATCTCTGGGTTTTGCTGAGAAAGAAGCCAACCTGAAATCCTGGAAAGCTGCTGTCAGTCAGCATAGACAGTACTGACCTACAGTAGATGTATCAATGTTTCTGATGTGGTGTGAAATAGCTTCCTATGTTCCTGATATGATGAGCTGTCCACTAATTCCTTTTTAATATGCAGCGTAAGCTAAAATACCTGGAACAACGCCTCCTTCCAATGAGATCTGCCCATTCTACATGTTCTTTCTAGGTAGGTTCTCGAGAACATTGGCCCCAAGAGAGAGCCGGAAAGAGAAGACCACGAACAGGGCCTTCTGGGCAGCTACCTCTCATCTTTGGAACGAGCTCCCACCTGAGATTTGCCTGGCCCTTTTCCCGGGGGAGCTTTAAACGATTATTGAAAACACGGGTTTTCAGGCAGGCTTTCCTGGAGTATTCAACATCTTAACACAGTGGTGGTTTCAGCATTACATACTACCTGTACCGCCATCTTGTTTTTAAACTCTCCATTACTTTTTAGTTTTTACTTCATTGCTAGTTTATATTAGTTGGTCTAATTTGGTCTAATTTTGTTTTTGATTGTTATTGTGTTCACTGTTCTTTAATATTGTTTACCTTTTTTTGTAAGTCACCCAGAGTGGTTCTGGTAGCCAGATGGGCAGTATAAAAGTCAAATAAATACGTAAATAAATCCTTGAATATTTAGTGCAGTTGCTTGTTTAGATAGAATTTGTTCCACTGATGATTCTTGCACTTTGTTCAAGGGGGAAAAGATGCTAAGCTAGATAGAGCTATGGAAGCAGATCCTTCAAAGTGACAGCTATTTCAAATTGTCTGGGAAGGAGAACAAATTACTTTTCCGCATTAAGTCAGTCACTAGAGTTCAACAGATAATCAATCATATACTGCAATAAAACCAACTGACTCAATAATAAAAGGTATCTTCTACTATCTATGTAAGCTGGCCTAATTCCTAGCAAAGCCCCAGTATTTGTGATACTCTTCCATACAGAGGACAACAAGGTATTTTCCCCATTGGAACGCATTAAACGGGTTTCAATGCATTCCAATGGGGAAAGGCTTTTCACTAGACGATATTTTTGCTAAACAGCGATTTCAATGGAACATCATCTACCGGGGCACCACTGTATTTGTTCTTCTTAAGGTATGAGGTCTTGCAGTTATGTTATCAGTATTTTTCTACTATCCCCATGCTGGTATCTTATCCTGCTTTGAATTTTGCCTTTTTCCTTACATTCCTCCTGAAAGCATTTAATTTTCAGTATCATTCTGTAGCAGGGGTGGAATTTAATGCTTAGCATTTCAAACTAGTGTCTGCAGTAAAGGTCTTCAGTTTGAAGCTTACAATTAGCACTCCAAAAACAAAGAAGGAACATCTAGTGGAAACACATCAGCCAACAGTAGATTTTTATAGAGACCTTTGTCTCCAAATACCAGTGTATCCTGTGCTCTTTCGGCACACAGTAGCAGTGATGGGATCCATGCTTCCTGTGGAACAGCTTTAATGCAAAAAAATTTTAATGTTTCATTTCTGCAATGGTGCAGCAGCATGCTAACAATCTCAGTTCTAGTAATGAGACAACTCCCCAACCAGAACCTGTTCTACTGGAAGGAAGACTCACCAGCCAGGCCCAGTGCTTAAAGACAAACAACTCCCAAGTCTGAACTAGTTCTACAGGGTGCACCGCTCCATCAGGAGGGGTGCTACAATCAAGACAACTCCTGAGAGTTAATTGGCAGAGGAGAACATTTCCCACATAATCATTGTTCTAGGGATGAAGTTAAAAAGAATGATTTGTAATAAACTGGATCAGTGCTGTTATATTCTAAAATAACAAATCCTTTCTTGGGAGAAGTTTGCAGAAGTAGCCAGGGCATTCCAGATTAGTAACTGTGTCAGCTTCTTACAGCAAAAAGAAGTCCTTTTGGCCTTAATAACCACAAAATGTATTCTGGTTTCAGCTGTTGTGGATGAGAGTCTAGTTCATTAGATACATGTGTGCTGGCATGTGTATAGGCAGGCACACACAGACACATGTGTAACTGGAAAAACAGAAAAGTTTCATAGAAACTTACTTTGAAGTGGAAGGAGGTTGTCCATATACTATGTCTGGCTTGCTAGCTACTGGTTGAGCATAAACCACTTCATGCTTGTTCGTGGAAGTGTAAGAAGAAGTGCGGGCTGGAACTCTTTTGCTCGTCCTTGTTGTGGTTGTAATTCCTTGGTTGGATGTGTTGTTGTAGAAGCTGTGACGATGCAGGCTGGCCTTGTGACCGACACGGCTGCCACTCTGATTTCTCCTTAATGTGCCTCGTGGAGGATCATAGTAGAGATCTGGCTCACTCCGGCTACTCTTCATGTTCTGCACAAAGCAGTAATCACTGCCGGGGGTAGTAGGACTGCAGATCTTGTTGTAATTTCTGCCGCCCCAGCTGTCCATTTGACTGTATGAACTGTAGCGCTTGTTCTCTGCTGCTTCTCTTTTGAGGGTTCCATTGTATATCTGATGAAGATGGAGGGCAAAGAGAAAAGGAAGAATAGAAAAAAAATATTACAGTTTTTCAGTAGATGCTCATGTGCTCTACAGACACAAGGCATTTTGCAGCACGAAGCAGATCTTAAATGGAATCTCTTCTATGAAGATCAATGCTTTGACTAGTCAACTCTATGAATCTTCTACTCAGAGATACATTCCAGTGGGTTCACTGGTCCTTACTCAAAGGGAAATGGGTCTATGACTAAATCCTAAAAGTCTTGTTGCATCATTGAGACATCAGTTCCTGCTTTGACCTCTTTACCCATCTCATCAGCAATAATCCTTGGTCACAGATTGCTACATGATGGGGCAGTCTCAAGTAGGAAGACATACCATCGCTCAGCATCTCTCTACATCTTCCTAGTACTTTCTGACCTCACACATTATTGGTCACCAATTTTTCCCTATCTTTGTCTCAGGCACAAAGCACAGGGAAAGTCATATCAGTTGTAAATGGAATGCAGAATTACAACCATGGGTTGTAACTTGTCTTTGAAAGAGAAAAGTGTATTTACAGGTTCCAGAAAAAAAGTGGAAATTGGGTAGGGAAGGGGAGAAATCCTCTAGTCTCTCAGTCCAATGTGCTTTTGATGTCTATATTCCAGCTGTAGGTATAAGCATTGACATCTGAAACACATGTATGTCTTACTGAGGGCTACCATTACCACTTGCCCAAATCACACTTCTGGTACCTTACTCTTCAATTAAATACTCATTAATGTTCAATGCAAAGTTTCAAGACCTTCTAATAAATATTCACATTTTTTTCTGTATGAGTAGATAATAAAAATTAATTGTGCTCTATGGTTAAAAACTTGGAATATATAATGGTCAGAATTGTATTGGGGATTTATGCTGGTATAAATGCCATTGAATGTGTCATAGTGGTGAATTGCTGCTAATTAGGGGTATGCAAATACCATCCACTTTGATTCAGTCTGATTTGTTTGTCTTAGATATCATAATCAATTTGCTTCAAGCATCATCATTTGCTTATAGTCTGCATTTTTTGATTTGTACTGAAATATCTCAAAGAGTGGTCAATCTGACCAGATGAGCGGGATATAAATCAAATAAATAATAATAATAATAATAATAATAATAATAATAACAACAACAACAACAACAACAA